CACGACTACAATAGATACTGCCTTATTAGTATTCTTTATATAAAGAATACTAATTAGGAGTGTTTTATCAGGTTTAAAGCCACTGCACGTGACATATTATGGTTGACATGACTTGCCAATAAGCTTATGAATAAACGTTTAAAAGGCCAATGCTAAACATCAATAGATGAAAAATATACTAAACAAAAGCTTAAGGTTACAGGACACCCGTTTTGGCGTTTTGCGGAAAATCGCTACTGCGCGCTCAATATCAGTCCGATTTTCATCAAATTTTCACCAAATGTTCTCCAGTGCATGCAAAATATGGTAATGTTGTAAAATTAACAAACAATAAAATAATGTAAGAATTATTCAGGACAATCTTAAATCGCGGTACCTTTACGCTTTTGAGTTATGCTCCTGCTGGTTTCAAGTTATATTTATGCAAATATCATTTTTATACAGTAAAATAGTTGTTCTAAAAAATTGTGTTCGAAAATGTTTGTTTATTTCGTCATTCGCAATCTAATAAAACCGTTGCCATTTGCCTCTGAGTCTTTGACAAAAAAATAAATACGTTATTTACCGTTTAGGTCGGTCCGGATAGAAAAATATTTTGTCTCGGTCTCAAAAACGTCCCTCTTTTGTCTCGGTCTCAAAATATTTTTCTATCCGGACCTCCCAGCCGGTAAATAACATATATATGATATCTTTCCACAACCACTGTGTGTATGTACAAAATGTCATGCCATTCTAACTAGTTAATCTGGATAGAGTCTTGCATTACATCAAGACAGCAACTGGACAGTAATTAGAGCAGGATGTAATTTTGAACGGAAAAGTAAAAGAAAAATATATTAGTTGTACATGTTATGTGTAACATGCAGAAGAACTTGACATATTTTAAACTGAAATAATTTGGCAATGAGAAGATAATGAGAAAATGGAGAACTAGTTTGGCTAGCATCTCCCCTGATGTCAAAGTCCCCTTGATGGATCAAAGTCAAAATTTGACTCAAATTTAAAGAGTCCTGGTCAACCACAATGCAATGCGCGCTTTTTGCCGCCATTTTTGAGGCCACACAAAATGGCTGCCTCTGGCCCACAAAGTAACAGAAACGTAAACAATTGCACGCATTGCATTGTGGTTGACCAGGACTCTTTAACAGTTACTGTAACTTTAATTATTGTTATTAAATTTTTATGTGTTGCTTGAGGTGTCTGACACTTTGTGACAATAAAATGAAAAAGTGATAATCATTCATCTAAGATCTGTCAATTCCCCTTTCACTATCAGTACAAACTTTGTAGTCATACAGCCATAATTAATAAATACATTGATATGCATACATTAACCCTAACATCCCAGAGAGGGTGGAACCCAGACTGCAATACCTTCCTTAATATTTTTCCACTTCCTTGATAAAGAACACTAAAATGTATAAAATAGTATTTGCATAATATATATATTTACCTTATTATTCATCCAAAATGTAACATTTTCCTTAAGCTTGTCATAAAATGATTCATTTTCTACATTTCCACCTTGTTTAAATGCAAGTGACATATCAGCATCTGTTACTGTACAGAAAATTGTACAAGACTGGAAATGGCTAGATTCAATAATTTTTTGAAGTTTCTCAATTCCTTTCCCAGGTAATAATGAACTTGAGATGAACACTGCTTTTCTTTCATCTTTACTGCCACTCTAAATAGTGTAATTACATGTCAAGAAACCTTTTAAGATATGTAATTTTTGGCTAGTACTGTACAAGCGGAGCAACTGCACTCAAATAATTTCCAAAAGCTGTTGAATGATAGCTGATTGACTGCTTGAAACAAATCTGTACTAATAACTTTACAACCTGACTAATATGGTGGGCTGCAAGGCTTGCAGTTTGCAGCCAAACATTTGGCAGAATTTTAGTATTTTTAAGATTTACTATGTTTTTAAATAAATCAGCTACCAAATTAAACCAATGAAATGGGATCATCATCAAGCAAACAACCAATCAGACGCTCCCAATGTATACAAGAACACAAACAACAGCACAAAATTTCAAACTCATTAATTGTAAAATAATTTTGATGAAGAGATAAAACTCTGCTCGTACTTGACTGCCAACTGCCCAACTCTCATCGACTCTCATGCAGAGTTTTAATAAGAGTTGTCACCATGTGTGGTAATTAATATGCAGTCATCTCTCATACAACTCTTGTTCTCATTTGACCACGACACAAGACTTGCGAAAACTCGAATGCAAACTCTCGCATCTCAATTCTCATCCTTATATTAACCGTGGTTTGACCAAGTCACCAAATCATATGCTTACCAAACCAGATTCAATGTTTTGTAATCGTATTGCCCCTGCATTAATCATATCCAGTGTACTTCCCGACCAGTGTAATAGCTCTGCTACATTATTATCAATATATACTAGTGAATTATTTACAGTAGTAAATACAGATCGCCACATTCGCTTATTTTGTTCAAACAATGCCACTCTTATGTCAGCCGCCATCTTGAATTTTTGAACTACCTGCAAAACTTCATCTTGTAAAAATATTTTGGATCGTCTCTGATTTTTTTGCCTGCAAGCAAATATTGCCCGATAATCTAAAGGCGATGCCTGCGGAGGAGGCTAGGGTTTAGTAGTTTGCGTAGAGTTCACTGGTTTGCGTGTAAATAGATTTTACACGTCAACATAATAATAAAACCATTCTTACTTTTCATGTTAAACACAAATACCGGCAACTAGTTTAATTCTTTTAGTGCGAAATTAACTCGGGCAGTGAACCAGGAGATACCTGCGGAGAAGGCTGGAAAAGTGGCAGAGTATTTCTCTAAATCGCACTTGGCCGTACAGACAAGCCATAAGAAAGTTTTGAGAAAACTAACTCATTTGGACTGGAGCTAGGGTACTACTGCAGTTTAAATAACATTTACTTTACGTTAACACTATTTTATTATAGAAATACGAAATACATAAAAAAACATTCTCGATTCTGTTTGGATAACAGAGTGTAAATTTTTCGAAATACAGTGCTGGCAAAAATGCAGTGCCAAAAACAAAATACGTGGCAAGCACCAAAACAAAACACATCTTGATTTAGTTTTAACTTGTTACAGATGAATCACTTTGCATGATTCAAATAAGTGAGTATAGTAAGTCTTTTATTTCGCGTGTGATTCATGCATGAATTGCTTCTGCATAATTGTTTCATGAATTAAAGTAACAGTAATAGTAATAATAAAAGTAATGATATAGTTTTTCGTGAGTTTTTCAGACTTCAAATTGCACACGCCTTCAGTCACTGTATTTCTGTTGGTTATAGACTGCTATGCTGGACCCGCAAGACTGCAGGTTTGATTCCTGCCAGTGGGCTTTTGTCGCATTTTTCTCCTTGTTAGTTCTAAAATGTATGTAAATTTGCCCTGGAAAATTCGATCTGCAAGTAAACCTATATCCACTATTTATAGTTCTATATAACAAGATTCCCAAAAATTTCGATATTTTTTTACAGCATTTTCTAACATTTTGTGAACCGTTTAGAATAAGGAATTACATCATTTTTTAACTTTTCTCTGTTCATTTTGGCTATATCCCCATGAAATTTAACGGGATGTATAAATTTAAGATCGTAATTATAACTTTCCCAAACTAATTTTCCATCAACATAACTACGATAACCATACTTGTCTGGCAGATAAAAGCCATAGTGATTTTCCCATGAATCTCGTAAATCTAGAAAACTCATAATTGTCGGGCACCGCAACTTCCAAAAACACTCGATTTTTATGAAATACAAAAGAGATCCGCTGAAACTGATCACTAAACTTTTTCGGTACATAAAATAAGTCTGACCACGTCCTAAAACAAAGCTTTTCTCCCTGGCCATTAACACGATGTGTTTCTACCAATTCCGTGACATTGATATTTTCAATTGAGTGATATTTTTGCGTGATTTCTGAGTAAGTATCTTCACAACTCTTGGCAGATTTACTCGAAATGCTCCACCAAACCCAATTGGTTTGCAATGGTCGTTTTCCCATGATATGACATTTACTTAGTGTAATTTTCGCACCTAGCCAAAATTTCTCCTTATCAAGTTTGTAGAATGTCCACCAGTTCACAACCATGTCGTCATTTATATACAAGTAACCACGGTAACCAGGATACCTACAGAAGCAACTACAATTTAGAAGACATCACTATATCGCTACAAATTAACTCAATACTATTTCGGTATACATTTTAACAGAAAATTCACTCTTATTTTTCAAAACAACCCTCCAGGATCTAAAATGTAACTTCTCTTCGAAGACTTTGCACAAATTTAAACAAAGGCCGCGAAACAAACTCCAAAGTGGGAGAAAGGAGGGGTGCCGTCGAAAATGCGTACCTATCGGGAGCATATATAGCTTCTTTTCGGGGAGGGTTGAAAATATCGTATAATGGTACTATATATAAGAAAAAAGTACTGTAAATAGCAATAATAATACTATCCTTATAAGTTCTATCCTTATAAGGTATTGGACAACCATCTCAATCTTGAAAGAAAATGGGAAGGCGCATGCATCTAGTTCCATATTATCCCTAAACAATAAACTTAACCCAATCAACACTGACCGCGTAAATTTAAACACTTATCGCTAACCCTCACCTAAATTCTAAACTTTAGCGCAAGAGTAGCTATGCTTAGCACCCCCCTCCCTACCCCACCCCCAAAGTTTGTAAATCACTTCCTAATCCTCAGTACCTTCGTATAGCCTCGCCGGCACATTGATAACCATAATATCCTGGGCCAAGATCAACTACCATTACATAGTGGAGGGAATAGGCCTTTGGACCACAAATCACAATGTTTTTAAATGCATCTTGATAAAATGACTTAAGCAAAGGAATGGATTCGTAAAATGGAAAATGGTAAACAATAATTAATAGGATATCTTCAAAGTAGTTCTTGAGACATTCACCAGACTTCGTTTCATTAGGATTATGGTATTTGACTTTATTTGATGGCTTACTTGAAGACGATGGATGTACCGTGCCTACAAAGGTGTGAATGAAAAACACAAATTGACACATATATCTTATTAGGACAAACAGGGCAGCTTGAAATCACGCAGCAATACCGAAATTTTCATATCGCGCTCAGGAATACATCATGGTACATCATATTTTATAGCAAGTATGAGATATTCTCAACCGCTTCATTCGTTTAGTTTGCTCAAAAGGCAAACGTGGGAATGGTCAGCACAGTTTTATTCGCCTCAATGTTTTGTGGAAAGTATTTCTTTCTTGCCTAAGTATCTGGTGTGATCGAGATGGAGCTTATAGTGATGCATGGAAATATCAACCATGCATTTTTTGTGTTCGTAATTGCATTGGGGGTTAGGTTATGAAGATCACTGGAATTTGTCTGGGACATATTTAGACTTGTATTTATAGATCACTTCTCTTCGATCCAAGGCTTAGGCGCTTGCGTGTATGTGTATATATATTTTTTTATTCAATCTAGCACGTCCCATTGACAATTCCTTTAAAGTTTAATGCATGGTGCAATCGTAGAATTGCCTTGGCATAATGACAAAAATCAGTCTGACACAAGAAATGGTTTTAATTTGAATGTCTCGCATGTTCAATACTTATATTTTAATTGTATAGACTTGAAATTTGGTTTAATTACTTGTTGCAATATCGAAATAGCACTGTAGATCTGTGATGCTCTCATTTGTATTAGGAATAGTAGTTACTTCGTACATATGCATGGAATGTTACCTGAATTTATTATTAATCTTGGAGTTGTTCTTGGAGTACTTCGTATATAACTATAAGGAATTGTTCTTGGAATTTTCCGTATATATGGAATGTTACCTAAAATTGTTTTTGGAGTTGTTCTTGGAGTACATCGTAATGAAATTGTTCTTGGAGTTGTTCTTTGAGTACTTCGTAAATATGAAATTGTTCTTGAAGTACTTCGTATATATGAAATTGTTCTTGGAGTTGTTCTTGGAGTACTTCGTAATGAAATTGTTCTTGGAGTTGTTCTTTGAGTACTTCGTAATGAAATTGTTCTTGGAGTTCTTCTTGGAGTACTTCGTAATGAAATTGTTTTTGGAGTTGTTCTTGGAGTACTTCGTATATAAGAAATTGTTCTTGGAATTTTTCGTAAAAATGGAATGTTACCTGAATTCGTTCTTGGAGTTGTTCTTAGAGTACTTCGTATATAAGGCACTGTTCTTGGAATTTTTCGTGTATATGGAATGTTACCAGAAATTGTTCTTGGAGCATTTCGTATATAAGAAATTGTTCTTGGAATTTTTCGTAAAAATGGAATGTTACCCGAATTCGTTCTTGAAGTTGTTCTTGGAGTACTTCGTATATAAGGAATTGTTCTTGGAATTTTTCGTAAAAATGGAATGTTACCTGAATTCGTTATTGAAATTGTTCTTGGAGTACTTCGTATATAAGGAATTGTTCTTGGAATTTTTCGTAAAAATGGAATGTTACCTGTTCTTGGAGTTGTTCTTGGAGTACTTCGTATTTTAGGAATTGTTCTTGGAATTTTTCGTATATATGGAATGTTACCTGTTCTTGGAGTTGTTCTTGGGCTACTTTGTATATATGGCATATTACCTGAAAATTTCAGACACGTTGGTCGTTAACACTTTTCACTACGTATTAGGGGCGTTAAACGGCAGTTCGTAGTAATTACTGTCTCTAAAAAATTACCCGGGCGGAAACTTCATTGCCTCCGAACAAAAGATAATAAGTGCATCGAGGAAAATACTTATACTGCACTATTATAAATTAATTTCGGGAGAAAGGGGAATGACAATTATTTTTGGAATTGGTCTATATGATGTATATCATCATACAGGTGCACTTTTTTCTTTTTAGTTCCTGTCCTTTTAACGAGACTATAAACTTTCGATATTCGAGAAATAACAAATTAACTTAAATTTTAATATCTAAAATATACCGCATGTGTCCCGACAACTTTTGAAAGTGATTGTAGCTAAACAAAGAATCTGTTGTGACATGCACGTGAACCGGTCAGGCCGAAATGGTCAATTTGCACCTAATTGTCATGCAAGCCAAATTTTTCTATAATGAGGCGAAATTTTACTAACGAAAATTTGCGAAATATAATGCAAGTTTTCTGTAAAAACTATGTAAGAAAATCAATAACTTTCAAGAAAGTTTCCTTTAACTTTCACTTCAACAATACAATACAATTCCATATTTGAGTTTCTTGGAATTCCGTAGTTAGGGGCCATGCAAAATTTATTTTATACGGAGCCGTAGAAAAAGGGGACGGGACACATACTTTTTCTAATATCGCGGCAAAAAGGCCGTCATATTTTGAAAAGCGACCCGTAGCAAGTACAGTTTATTAATTAAAGATGTAGAATTTTTGGCAGATTTTTAACTACAGTCATGATTTATCATTATGAATGCAAAATTTGAGGTGGGAAACTTGAAAATTGAGCGCGCACTGAGCATTTTGGTGAAATGGGTTTCTATCATGTACCACCTTAACTACAAAATTACGCGCATGCGCATACTAAGCACTGTCACACTGTCAAATTCCTGCGCATGTGCAGGCTAACCACAAAAAGTAATTACCTTTCGGTTTCAGTATGTAGAGAGATAAAAAAACAGCGATCAATAAACAGCCAAATATTAGAAATAGTGATTTATTCTTGGAAAGACGACCACCTTGACTCATCTTCATTCTACAAACATAATATAATGAAAGCAATGAACATTTCTTTCTCACATTGATATAACTGCCAGGGGAGCCGGAAGCAACCTTTAGCGGCGGGGGCAGCCATTTCGAAAGTGCATGCCCCTTTTTTTGGCGTCATCCAATCTCTTGTGTGACATAACGTTTGCTATTTTTGTTTTAATTTCTTTGAACCTTATTAGAATTATTTTGCAGCTTATTACTTTGTTTGGACGGTTTGGTTACCTTTTTCCAATCTTTTATAAAATTCACTGTTCAAGAATATTCCTGAGAAAATAAATAGTCATTAAGAAACCTTCAACCTAATTCAGTTTTATTGTATACGCATAACTTTTCAATGAACATGTATTTATATAGATTTACTTTCATACAGAATTACTATGCTTCTAATGATCTCCACAATTAACCCATACATGCAATAGACCTTACCGATTATTCTCCCAATGGCCTCGTTTCCATGTTAACTTATTTTAGCATGTCAGGGGGAGATAAAGAATATATTCCCATGTTTTCCAGCACGAATTTGTTTCTTGTTGTTCTTAGGCTCAATAACAAAGTAAACAACAAAACTTGAGTAAGTATTTGACATGAAAACGAGGCTATTGGGTAAAAGAGAATAATCGGTAAGGTCTCTTAATTAAATACAATACAAAACAAGTGAAACTCCAAAAATCGATAACATTTTTATTTATCTACGTTTCGACTATATTTCAGTCATCATCAGGATAAACTAGCTAGGTTATATATCAAAAGCGGTATTTATATGAAGAAATATGATGCAATAATTAGGTTGATTATTAATGAACAAGACGCCTGCTCAGGCGTTCACACTGACCTGAAAATGGCGACATACGTGCTATATGGTGCAAGGTCGTGCAATAGACAAGGAATACAAATCGTGAACCGCAAACTCATGAAAGGCTGAAAGCGTGACGGCATCCTGAGGAGATGTTTTCGTAATGTTCAATGAAACACAAGTACTACTATAAAATACAAACGTTATCCATAAATGCACATGGTCTCTGGGCATGTTATGCGCTATTAACGCAGACAACATTGTTTACATTCCGTGAGTCTGTATTAATAAACGTTACTACCTATAAAATTGGAAAAACTCAGCGATCCAGATATCGCATTTCCAGAGACGTTGCACGAGAAAAAAACACCAAGCCAACTTCTAAGAAAGTGCAGTGTAGGATAAATCCAAAATCCACAGAAAAACGCGGTAAAATCCATGGACAAATGAAGAAATTGTTTGAGACTGAAATAGTCACTCATCGAATGGCCGCCATCTTGAAAACTGATCTGTATAGTAAACTGGAACGACTGGAACATTGGAAACTGAGCCTGCGATGCGCTAACGCAAACTCGATTTCTCGACGACAAAGAAAACAGAAAACAGAAAACAGATAATTACACTGACCTGAAAGGTCAAGTGTCATAAATTTGGTTTGGGTTTGTAGTTTTCGTCGTCGAGAAATGGGGTTTCCATCAGTGCATCGCAGGCTCAGTTTCCAGTGTGCCAGTCGTTCCAGTTTACTATACAGATCAATTTTCAAGATGGCGGCCATTTTTAATGAGTGACTATTTCAGTCTAGCCTGCGAACAGGCTCTCAAGCTGAATTGAGAGCCTGCATCGACGATTAATGAATTTGAATATCTGCCCCGTAACGTTCGTTTTTCCAAATATGGAATGTCTATCCTTATATGGTGTTGTTTACAACTTTCGTGCAAACTAAATTTAGACCGTGCAAACTAAATTTAGACCGAGCAAACTAAATTTAGACCGTACAGCTTATACTATTTTTCGAAATATAAGATATTCAAGCAAAAGTTCAAATGTTTTAAATACTGTTTTCTCAAAACAGAACATTTCGTGCTTTGAGATAAGACCGCCAAGACCAATATGATCAGTTAATGTGTTTTTTTTTTATGCATAGTGCTTTTTTATGCATAGTGCTTCAAGCAGTTGACATATATAGAGCTCAGCGGAAACATATAAATTATAGCATCTGACCAATGAGAATTTCGCGTCACGATTTGAGACGCAGATATTCAAATTTATTAGTCATCGATGCAGGCTCTCAATTCAGCTTGAGAGCCTGTTCGCAGGCTAATTTCAGTCTCAAACTATTTTTTCATTTGTCAACGAATTTTACCGCGTTTTTGTGTGGATTTTGGATTTATCCCACTCTGCACTTTCTTGGAAATTGACTTTGTGGGTTTTTTTTCGTGCAACCTCTCTGGAAATGCGATATCTGGATTGCCAATTTTTCGAATTTTATACCGTAAAAATACCGGTTAATCAGTACGGACTCACATAATGTGAACAATGTTGTCTGTGTTTATAGCGCATCGTATGCTCAGAGACCATGTGCATTTATGGATAACGTTTGTATTTGTGAGTAATACTACAATACTTGTGTTTCATTGGACATTTATACGAAAACATCTCATTGCACCATAGCACGTATGTCGTTATTTTCAGGTCAGTGTGAACGCCTGAGCAGGCGTCTTGTCAGGGATTTAAGACACTTGACCTTTCAGGTCAGTGTAATTAATTAAATATGATTAGTTCTTTAGAAGCTTTAAGTCCATGATTAAGTTCAGGTTTATATCTTTGAATAGCGAGGGATTCTTGATACAGCAAAAGGGACCAATGGTTAGATATATCAATTATTTTAGTGTTGTTGAAAACATGTTCAGCCAATATACTGGTTTGATCAGACTTTGCGTCATCGTCGGGATATAGTTCTAAAAGGGCTTTAATATGTTTAAACTGTTCGCAAGTAGAGAGGTGTTGATGGATTACAGATTCTGTGTGATATCATCAATTATTTTTGCCCCCCCCCCCGCCACCCCTCAAAAAAATTTATTAGTCACTGAGAGCGACTAAAGGCTACACAAGCGTTTTGTCGTTATCGGAAAATGTATGGCTTATAAGTTGTCATTATCATTAGTGAATGCGCGTATACATGAAACTGTCTTTTACAGTTTCAATATTAGTTTGTAAATCTCTGAACGGTAAAACTTTCCAATACTCCAATAATACGTTTCAAAAAAGACAAAAAAGCTTTAGTTTTGCAAAGTTAAATTCTCAAATGTGTAAAGGCCCACACAAACCGGACGCAATTCGGCAACGCGACGTGAATTTTCAGTTTTCAAAAACAAATAAAACCGTCAAAGGATAAAAATTTTACAAGGTATGCAGACCAAATAGCTAAAATTGCTAAGGCTAGTGGTCCCGAATATTTGAAAAACAATGAAAAATATTAAAGCTAAATGTCATTGAAAACTGAAAATTCGCGTCGCGTTGCCAAGTAGCGTCCGTTCTGTATGGGCCTTAAGGCACTAATAAGATAAAGTATCACGAAATTATTTGAATAAACCACGTCGCATATATGGGGGGCGAATATCCTAAAGGAGGGCGATATTCCTGGGGCATTCGCCCCTCTGGGGAGGGGCAATATTCCCAGGATATTCGTCCCCCGGCGGCGGTATTCCTAGGAATATATCGCTCCCTTTTGAGAGGGCGGCGAATCTCATTGGGGACAAAAGTCCTTTGACAACGGCATGGGCAAATAGCAGTACCTTTTTAAAAATTCTATCTTGCCCCCCCCAAAAAATATGAGTTTGCCCCTCAAATGCCCCCCTCCCCAAATTCTGAGGCCTGGCGTTCTAATATCTGGTTACAACTACCCTATCTTGGCAAATTTGGTGAAAGACTAACTCGTTCGTTGATACGCAAAATAACCCCTCTCCTCATATTAAAATGCCGATTCATTATTAACTGGAAAACCATTAACAGCAACGTATTTGTGTCATGCAAAGATAAAACCCCGAAAACTTATCAAAGCTCTGTAGTCTATGAATTTACTTGCCCTGGATATAATAGAAGGTACATCGGCAAAACTGATTGCTGCTTATACACCAGAACATTCATATCACACAGAATCTGTAATCCATCAACACCTCTCTACTTGTGAACAGTTTCAACATATTAAAGCCCTTTTAGAACTATATCCTGACGATGACGCAAAGTCTGATCAAACCAGTATAATGGCTGAACATGTTTTCAACAACACTAAAATAATTGATAAATCTAACCATTGGTCCCTTTTGCTGTATCAAGAATCCCTCGCTATTCAAAGATATAAACCTGAACTTAATCATGGACTTAAAGCTTCTAAATAACTAATCATATTTAATTAATTCATTAATAATCAACCTAATTATTGTATCATATTTCTTCATATAAATACCGCTTTTGATATATAACCTAGCTAGTTTATCCTGATGATGACTGAAATATAGTCGAAACGTAGATAAATAAAAATGTTATCGATTTTTGGAGTTTCACTTGTTTTGTATTATATTAAAATACTCAGTGGTTCTAAAAAAATTTTTCTATTAAATACAATGACTTAGTTTGATTATTTAAGCCTCTCGCTATATATTTCCTATTTCTGGACTCTATTTTACATAATCATATAGCATAAGTCCATTGTACGTCAACAATGCTCTTCGACTGAACAATCTTGCTTTCTTAACAGAATTCATAACCGAGATACTAGAAGAAATGGGACCTGGATATTTCAAAATTTAGGGCATCGATCGGTCAAAGATCGTTCAAATACCGAGGGACTAAGATATGGAATGATCTAGATACAGAGCTGAAATCAATTAGTGATTTGAACAATTTTAAGACGAAACTTAAGACAATTCTTATTGAGAAGCGATGTCCTTCTTTTTAACTTTTGAATATATAGACTATAATATATAAACTATAATATATAGTATAATTATAGTTCACGTAATAACTTTGATAAGATAGTTGTAAATATAGTCGATAATTCATAATTTCTTTTACATGTAAAATCTATGTAAATTGTCATTGAAAAGCCCATTTTTGGGAATGTCAATTAATAAATTCAATTCAATTCAATCAACAATCACCGTTGATATTTCGGGAATTTCATCAC